AAAAAAAAAAAAAAAAAGAAAAAAAAAAGGAGGGAAGAATACCGAGCAACTGCACTGTGATGCTGTGTGATACAGGTGGAAACGAACGTGAGATAGAGTCGTTTTATATCATCATATTACATTTATTGAAACAGTATTCACGTCGATGAATATCTTTACAGTATAATAAGTCTGTACTCGTTTTGCCGCATTTTACCTCTCTGCCACTTTGATTCATGCTTGACGTTCCTCTATAACATGGTACATTATCGATTATGAATTTTTTTTTTTTTTTCCCTTTATTCTTTATGTACAATGCGATCTAGGCTTAACTATATAAATTGTGCAACATTTCGTAATTATGCGAGTCGCGGATATCGATTATCTAGTGACACAATTAACGTGTAACGTCCCCTCTCGATATTTTTCTGCTTCTTTTCTTTGATTATCAGCGATTGACGCGTGTTTCGAGTGAGCTTTATCGTTTTTTATCTTTTTCTTTTTCTTTTTTTTTTTTTTTTTTATCTCGAACGCGAGATCATTATCGATATTACGTGAAATGATGACATTCAGAGTCTCTTATGCGTAACATCGAACCTAGATCGTTATTATAACCGAACATCATTTCAAAGGAACGAGACTCGAAGATGACGAGAATTCGAAACAAAGTATATTTAAATATATTTGAAAATTGATGAAGAAAAAGATTTTTTATTATTATTACTTTTTTTAAATTTTTTTTCTTAATCAATAACGACGATTCTCCCTTTCTTGTTCCAACATTATTATTTAAATCGATCAATTCGTTTAATCTCCCGAAAACGTTAAATCTCTCTGAATAATATCATACACGAATAACATTCCGAATCTGTATCTATATTCGATCCTTTTGATTTCTCGTTAGATCATTCTTTTTCACGTATCATCTCTTTTTTTCTGTTTTTTTTTTTTTTTTTTCTGTTTTACTTTAAACAACCGCACTTTAACGCTATCCTCACGCTTCAACTTCAAAATATTGTCCTCTCACAACGACATAAATTACCGTATAAACTATACAAGAAGGAATAATATATTATATCGCGAACCTTCCCTTTCTCGCCTCTCCGTGTTGTAAAATCCGTGCAACGTAACACAGTGAATTGCAATTTCTGGCAGTTTCTGGCAGTTTCTTGTTTTACATCGTATATGCACCAGACTCTTTGGCCACGTGGTACAACGTTATAAAAAATCTATTTAAACCTATGATTAAATCGCGTCTTAACTCGCTCTACATCGTTATGATATCGTTTTCCGTTTACATTATTTATCCGTAATAAATCTACTAATTAAATTCACTACCGTCTTGTGTCTTTAGAAGATCGCGCGTGTTATCTTCACGACAAACTATCCTGGAAGGAAGAAGGCTGACGAATCGACAGACGAAGAAAGAAAAAAAAAGAAAAAAAAAAGAAAGAGAAAAGAAAAATTCGATCAACTTCGAACGAATTATTTACTCTCGATTTGAAATTCATCTCAATTCATCTCAAAAAAATTTCGACGATCATCCGATTATCAGAGATTTTCATTTGTATTCTTCGAAACAAGAAATGGAACGTTTCTTCCTCGTTCACGGATATCTATTAGCAGATACTCTTAATCGTACATTTATATTATCCTCGTATTCTTATCTAAACACGAGCCCTATGCTTAAATCGCGTCGGTAGAATTCGTAATTCCTACGATAAAGGTAAATTTGTAAATTCCTTCTCGCGGATTAGCGTGATTGCATCGTTTCGATTTAGAATCGGCGACGAATCGATCGTTCGCCGATACAATTCAATTCAGAATTTTTTCAGAGAAAACGTCCACTGAAAAAGAAAAAAAAAAAAAAAAGAAAGAAACAGGAATTAAACAATCACGTTCCCTGGAAACACAGTGTGAGCAGTTATCGTGAGCAACAACGAATCGACATCGCTTTGTCCCTCGTTCACCCCGTACAATTCTTTCCCTCTTCAACAAACAGAAACATATCGAACGCGATTGATATTAATGACAATTTATCCTTCCTAAAAAAAAAAAAAGAAAAAAAAAAAAAAGACAAATTACGCGTCGATGGAAGAAAAAGAATACCGTCTGTATATCGATCAAGAATCCTCTCGCTGAAAACTGTCGGGAACTCGTCCTCGCGAAATTACAGTGAATTCCGGAGGCCGACCAATCGGATCTGGGCAAACTCCGACCGACCTAATCCCGTGATCAACGATAACACGGAAAGTTTCATACTTTAAACGTTCGAGACGGAAATCGAAATAGTTCCTTTATGTACATACGTTGCCCAGATCCGCGATTCCCGTAATTCTCGATCACGTTTTCTCACTGTACAAACGAGGTCGCGACGAAATCGCTATTTATCGAACGGTCCTTCTTTCTTCTTCTTCTTCTTCTTCTTCTTCTTTTTATATATATATACAGAGAAACTTACGCTACGTACTCGACATACACGATCTCGGACGGGTCAATTAATCGTCCCGCTCAATCGTCGGATCGTATATAATTACCGATCTCGAGAAGTCCGTTAGACGAGCTGTTCACTAGTATTTCGAAGCCGCTTTTTGATAAACACGCTTTGGACACACTCGTTCATCGATCGCATCCGATCTTCAGAGTCAGTCTCGCATCTCTCGGAATCCTTTAATCGAATTCTTTTTTTTTTATCCGAGTTTCGCAGAGGTATACAAATACGACGAACCTTTTGCATTTTCTCTCTCTCTCTCTCTCTCTCTCTCTCTTCACTCGCGAGGCGAATCACACACCCCCTCCCCCCCACACGATGGCCGATGAAAAATTGCTAAAGAAATATAGACGTATGGAATAGTTTATGACGTGGAATGAAAATTTACGGTAAAAACGTACGTGTGCAAAGTCGAGCTCCACTTTCCGTGTCACTGCGTTCACCACCACTGCGTCCAGATCCACTGCACTTTGTTCCAACCCCTAAACCCCTTCTTCTCTCTCCCTGCCCGCCTTCCCCCATTCCTCCCCCATTTAAAACCACCCCCGATGATTTCGCAGCGTTGGCAGCAGCGCTAAGTCACGTTTCTATTCTCGCATTCCGTATGCTTTCCTCTTAAAGGAGAGACGCGGCCTTCTCCCTCGTTCGCGTTTTTTACCTTTGAACGAGAACCACCAACCCCTCCTCCTCCGCCTCCTCCTTCCTTCGGGCACCGTCTCACCGGTTCACGAAACGAGCTCGACCAGCCCGTGGCTTCGAAGTCGCACGATTCACAAGCACGATACCGCTCACCTTAGCAGATTCGAGATCACCAGAGTAAGGGTCGCCGATAAAATGGTGGGCGCGACGCCGCAACTTCCGCCGTGTTGCATGGCCGCTGGATGTTCCCCTGCAACAGAAATCATCAATCCTCTGTTCATCATCGATTTTAATCAAACGCACGCTTCAATCGATCGACCAACGATCAATATATAGCGAAACGGACCGAGAGATCCCTCGTCGTACCGGTCATCATCTACGACATTTCCTCTCGATATCTCGTGGGAAAGGAAAGGTAGACGAAAGAGACAAAGGTAGACAACGAGATTTTCTGTCGTAATACGCGCGTTGCAAAATAACTTTTAGCGACGAGAAGCGAGGAAACGTAACGAGAGCGAGCCAGCAGCGGGTCGACGTTAATCACCAACTATCCCCTCGGTCTATCGACTATTCCCCGATTTCCATACATACATTTCATATATCCAGACAAATGTTAACGGTGTATCGCGTCGGATGAGCATAGGCCGATGCACGCCGGCCGGTAATAAAGATAATCAGGGGCGGTGGTGGGCAAGCAGCAACCCTGCCGGTTGCTGCGTGCCCCTTCTCGCGCGGCTTTGCGATTTACGATCGAATCGAAAATCTCGTTCGCCCGGTTTCGAAGGCAGGGCTTGTCCCGCGCGGACGAGGGTCGGAAGGGGAGGGAAGGGTAGGGACGACGAGGAGGAACAGCGAAATCGTTGCATCGCTCGAAAACGAAAAACGGCGCCGGCCGTTCGTCGTCGGCCTCCCTCGGCCTCGACCCGCCCGCGTAATTGCGTTAATGCGCGGATAGTGCGCGCCACACCACGGATAATCCTCGCGGCTGTGCGCGCCGGTTTATCGCGAAATAATTGAAATTTGCGGTCAATTTTGCCGAGTAATCAGCCGTGTTTGAAATAACGTCGGTGCCGCGCCCCTCCCCCGCCCTGCCCACGGGGGGGAGGGGGCCGATTGTAAATTAATTATGCAGACGAACTGCGCGCCATTAATTTTCATCCGTTATGCCGCGAATCGTTGCCAACGCGGGCGGCCGCCGCTGCGAGGGGATCGATTTCGATGGGGGTATCAATGGGGGTGTAGAATGAAATCCTGTATCGACGGCGAATTTCGCATCGTCTTTGTGCGAGGAGCACGCGAAAGTAAGCTGGATTGAAATTCCATCGACCGAGGATGGCGGCTCGGTTGATAATCTCGACGCGTATAATTAATACCGCGTTGATTACCAGTTCATTGTCGGTCGATTATGGTGTCCGCGGGGGATCGCGGATTCTCGTTTCGAAACAGCCCGATCCGACTCTCATCGTGACTCGGCGATGAATCTAATACAGTGCGTCCGATACGGATTTGATTAGACGCACGATTGTTGTCCAGATTTCTTCCACACGTTCGAGAATAATGCGAAAGTTTTAAAAAAAAAAAAGTGTCTCTTCTTTTTTCTTTTCCTTTTTTTCTTCTTATTAGCAGCCAATTGAATATTTTTCACGACCGTTTTTCGGTAATTATCGAAAACCGATAAAGGGAGGAGGGAGGAATTCCCTTCGATTCTTGCCGCGATCTCGAATGTGTTTAACTAAAATTACAATTTCGAGTTTGGACCCAAGTTTTCACCGTGGTAGCTTCATTCGTTCGATTCGATTTCCCCGACTGCTCCTCCACCACCTTCGCTCGTAATTTTCATAGAAGCCGGTCGATCGGGCAACGCGAAGGGGCGGCAATGAGCCGTACACAACGAGGCGAGTGAGTCGTCAAGTGTAGTGACGTGTTTCAATCCAGAGACTTTCTACACGGATGCGCGGGTAGCGGTGATTGACAGGCTGGATTGGTGAAGTTGCCGCGCAAGATATTGCATGTGTTATCGCGAGTGTTGCCGGCTGACAATAGATCAAAACCAAGTGAGGAACGCGCGAGGAAGGGGTGGGCCGAGTACTTGCGCGCGGCCCCAATATACGAGCCTGTCAAACTTTATGACGAGGGATTTCGATGCTTGATGAATGAACAGGCCCCGTCCCTTTTCCGCCTCGCGCACAACCCCCGCAACCTTCTCCACCATTCTGCCCGCCACCATTCAACTTGGCGATACGAGGGCGGCCATTGTCGGGGAATTTGTCCAACGATCGCGGTGCAAAAGGGGCGGCGATAGATACATCTTCGATGTCCAGCCTCCAGGGAGGGGTGGGTCGGTGGATGAGTGGGTGGACAACGGTGGCCACGTTCCATCATTTTCAAAGTGGACGCTCGACCGATTCCAACCGCGTGCATTTCGATGGGGATAAAATCGACGGAGGGTTCGTGGATTTCGACTCGTGGATTTCGATTCGTGGATTTCGATTCGTGGATTTCGATTCGTGGATTCGTTCCGTGCTCGCTCGCGATCGTAAACCACGAAATTTTCGATAATTATCGCGGGATTAATGAAAGGTATACACTTGTTGGAGAAAAAAAATTGAAGAAGGCTTTGGATGCGTTCTCGTTCGCGAAATTCCCGCTTTTCTTCAACGATCGTTCCAAGCCAAACGTAGTTCACTTCGACTCGTAAACGTTCCACTTCCTACGATAACGTAGAATTCATTAGAACCGTTTCTCTGCTCGTGAAAGTAACGAGCGATCAAAGAGGAAAAGAAATGCAAATCCGTGTAAAAGCTTTCACAAAAGTGCGTGAAATAAATATAAAATTCATTAAGAATTTTTTTTAGAGAAGAAGCATCAAATTTTAACCATCTCGTTTCCTTTCGATGAACGGTTTAATAGCAGATGTGACGAGACGTTTTCGAAAGGAATCGCGTTAAAATGCTCGCGATTTAAGAAATGTCACGCGATTCTACTCCTTAAATGCGTTTGCTCGCGACGTTTATGGAGGAGCGTGTACATGACGGAGCCTCTAACGCGCTACGTTTCAACGACTCTGCGTTAAATCTCGGAGAGGAAAAAGAAAAAAAAGAGAGAGAGAGAGAGAAAAAAATACGAAACACGCCTAAAAACGGACGCATATCGACGTCACACGTTGAGAAACTAGCTATATATATATATATATAGGTTTAAAACAGATAGCATTCCGGCTGGATATAAAAATAAATCGACGGAATAAAATTTCTCTGAATCCGGATGAAACGCGAACCAATAAACGAGCAGGCAAAAGGGTGAGTTTCGATTCTACGCGCAAATTTCCTGGATGAAACGCACTATTTTTTTTTTTTTTTTTTTTTTAATACTCTTTTCACCAATATATATAATATTCTAAACCAAAAGTGTATTTCCAACCCTTCGCTCGTAATCGGTTTAATAATAATTAATCGAAATAATTCCACGTTGTAATAATTGAATGGATTATTAACCGAATTTGCTAATTTCGTTATTAATAAATTACAGTGTATTTCATACAGGACGCATTGAATTCGTAACCTAATTTGTAATTTCGATACAGGGCGTTTAATTCTTGTTTGAACGAGATCGAAGAATCGAAGAGAAAAAACAATTTTTATCCTTTAGACATTCCTTCTTAAAGGATAAACAGCGTTACAAGAAGAAGAGTATGGATCAATATTAAGAAACTTGTGTGTCACGGCGCAGCTACGTCTAGGCGCAAGACTGATCGTCGCTCTCGAGTCCCGAAGAAATTAAGTTAAGCCATGACGGAGTGGGACCCATGAGGGAGACAGGGCTGGAGGGAAGAGAGAGAGGAGGAGAGGTTGGGTCGGTCGAACGAGAGTTGAGGGAATAAAAAGGGCTCTCTTACCATTCAGCACGTGGACCATCACGCTGGCTGGATTCGCGTTGCTGGGAATGCAGGTGTAATTTCCGCTGTCGGTCAATCTGGCTTGTGTCACCAGAAGTCTGCTCGTCGTGCCGCTTTCCGTCTTCTCCGTCTCCAAGGAAACCCCGCCCCTACGGTGAACGCTGAATTATCAAAGATACTTTGCTACTGTGCACACACGTTGTAATTTGTTAAAAAGGAAACTTAACTGTCTCTAAAGGGTGCGCACCATTTGCTGCTCGTCTTGCTGCCGTCGCGAGATGCATCGACACGCGTTCTCGACTTATTCTGATTCGACACGCTTCGAAGGGTTTCAACCGAATTTCATCCTTTCCAATTTCTCACCTATTTCCATACGGATTCGCGAGACAAAACGATCATCATCTTAAAAACCGATTGGAGATCGCGAGAAGACGCGTTGTCGATGTTCGAATTGTAACAAAACATCCTCCGAAATAAATAGGATCTTTACGATTCCTCTAATTTTTCACGATGGTGGAAAAAGATGGAGAAGGGATGGAAGGGGTGCATCACGTTCGATGCATCTCTTTCTCACAACGTGCACCAGCGATAATCGTAACGCAAGGCAATCGAACGGAAGGGAAATTTTCTCGCCTCCTCTGCCTCCCAGTTGGCTAAGGATGCGCGGTGGCGAGGGGTGAGGGACATTTACGGGGAGAACTCGAGAACTTGATTCTCGTGGCTTGTACCTGGGACTGTCGAAATCCACCACATCTCCTCCGTGATGCCACGAAACGCTGCTGGGCGGCGTACTTTGCACATTAACGGTGCACGTGAGGCTTATCGTGCTACCCTTCTTCACGTACACGTCTTCCGGGCCCACGATTTTCGCCTGAGCGGCTGCAACACACATCGGAAATCGGCCGTTTAAACACTCTGCTCTCGATCCCGTTTAAAATTTCGTTTATTCGCTCTCTCTCTCTCTCCCTCCCTCCCTCTCTCTTTCTCTCTTGGAATAATTTCTGCTCTCTCTCTCTCTCTCTGTTTCTTAACTCTGAATCTCAGAGATTCGTTTTAAAAACGTTTTCGTTTTTCGCCCGATGAAGAAACGTCGAATTTGAAACTGGCGGTACGTATGCAACGGTTTCGAGCGTAAAGAGGCTCGATATATTCCACGTGTTTCTCGCGTGAACGTGTTTAGCGGTTACGTGGTAATTAGTGTAATGGACGTATTAACTAGTAAATCACGCGTCTATTTATGGAAACGTCGCCATTTAGAATTCCATGAAATTATTTCGAAAACCGATCTGGTATAATGGCAGGTAATCGGTTTCGTATTATAAGATCCGGTATCAAATTGCGGCGAATAAACTTAAATTCGGTGTGTGTATGTGGGTGGGTGTGTGTACACGTGTGTATGTAATACCGTATGCAAATGCCGGAGGCCGAGTATCCGCCAAGTTGGTGGCTGTGCTCGTGACTAACATTCGAAACGAATTTCGAGCAAGTTTTAATGGAACTTCGAGGCTCGAGGCCGGGCGAAAACGAAAATAAAAGGAAAAAAACTATCCAAGTCGAAACTTACGTTGTTGCCGTGAATATTTTAATTGCCACGGAAGTGAGGCTAGAGCAAGCTGAGTCAGGCTTTGTGTACGTAAAGCGCGTTCATCGAAAGTAAATATTAATCACGTTGCCGTGTTCTGTGGATTGAAATTTCTAAGAACCTTATTTAACAAAAACAAAACAAAACAAAACAAAAGAAAACAAAACAAAAAGTATTCCGATAACGTAACGTGGTATTTCGATCTAATAATTTCGAATATTATATTCTCTGTAATAATAAAAATTGAATCAGATTTTTCATCGCGAAAGTTCAAAATACGAAAATTACTTCGCGAGTTTATTCTCATACGAATTTTGTTTCTCTGATATCGAAATAGAAAAATTAAAAAAATCATAATTCTACACGTTTTATTTATAACAGATTATCAGAATACTTGGCGATCCTGTTAAAAAAACAATAATGTCCTTATATTTCAATCACTGGTAGTTGTTACAATTTCTACGTAGTTTTCGACAATGAATCGAGACCATGCCAAATGCCACGCGAAATACCATTCGTGCCATGATAAATGCACCAAACCTCTCCATTTATATGCTTTTTCTCTCGATGCAATCTCGCATTCTTCGAAATGGGCCACGATTTATCTCGAAATAGAAAAAAAAAAAAAAAAAATCTACTATCTTGCCATTCGATAAAATCAAAATAAATCACTCACTTCCACGGTACATTCTTCAAAAAGGATTAAAAAAGAAACAAAAAAAGAAAGAAAAGAAAAAACAAAAAGAGAAAAGAAAAGAAGACAAACATATATATATATCTACCTTCTCAGTAGTTAAACTAGAAACGATCAAACACGAAAGCAGAAGCACAAGGGAGTGTAACTTTGAACATCCACCGCGAGGCAGGTCGAGCACGCGCCCTCTAATCTCTTTCGTGTATCTCTCGGTTGCATTAGAAACTTCGTCAGACCCGATTATATTCCGGGATTAATAATTTAGAGGCAATTAGAAAACGCGTGTCGTTGCATACGTGGCTGGATTCCGCTCCTGTCTCGAGCGACGTTCAACGAAAATGGATCCCTCCCTCCCAGCCGGTTAAAGTCACCTCGACCAACCCTAGTAAAACAAAACCATCCAGACTGGGGGAGGGGAGGGGGATTGAATTAATTAACGTTAAACTGAGAGGGTGGACGAGAACATGCATCGATAGAGCACGAGCCGAGCTATATACAAAGAGACATGCTAGGCCACAAGCACACGCACACACGCAGAGAAAGAGAGAGAGAGAGAGAGAATAGATATATAGGAAGACAGGCACATCCGGTTGATCTACACACTTGGTCGCAATAAAACGTCTAGAGCAGCAAGCTTCAACAGCTTGGAAAAGGAATTCTGTTCTTGCGTGATTCTCTAACCTGAGTTGAACGTCCGGTGAATGGCGTTCGGTGTGGTGGTGGCGGGGACAGGGGCACTTTCTGGAACGGGAGGACAGAAAAGATATCGAGTTAATCGATTTCGTCGAGAGATCTACCGCTTTGGGTGGGCTTTGGGGGGTGGACTGGGGAACTTGTCACCGAAACCATCGCGATATAGATTACTCCATTCGCTTCTTCCCCGAGTACGTATGCAGCATATATACCGCATAGTATCGTGTACGTGTGTGTGCATATGTGTGTGTGTGTGTATGCATCGTTGTTCATTCATGGCGTCCATTCGTGGCGCTCCCTTTTTCTTTCCGTCTCCAGTCACGGATCGTCGTTTTCTTCCGTCGCGATAACAGGTTCGCGGCTCTTTTAGAATGTACGCGCATTTATCTTGGCCCACGTTACGTGAATTCCACGGGGAAAAGTTTGTTTCTTCTCTCTCTCGGTTTGTCGAGTCTCGGGGAATGATATATCGCGCATAACCCGCGCGAACCTGTTATCGATTCGAATAAAGGGAGCAGGGAAATTCTCCTCCTCCTCGAGTTTCGACGAATTTTTTAATTGCAGGATTGTCGTAGCGCGAAAAAAAAAAAAAGAAGAAAAAGAATCGACGAGCTTGATGTGCATATATGCATAGGGGCAAGTGCACGAAGAGGCTACGAACGTAATTAATGAACAACGATGTTCGTGCACGCAGACGATCCTTCGAAATCACGTGAATTCGCGGAAACAGCTCACGTGACGATGCTCGTGAAGAAGTTATCTAATTACTCGACTATCTCGTCTAATCCGGAAGTTCTCTGTCGGATCTTGCGTCCGGATTGTCGATCGAGAATGAATTATTCGCGAGAAAAAAAAAAAAGAAAAAAGAACTTCGATCAAACGTTTAAATTATTTGTCAAATTACTAGGCGGACAACAAACGATACAATTCATCATATTATTCAAACGGGGGATATCCCGATATTATTTGCAATTGAGAATTTTACGCGCAAACATTGTTACTACATTGTTACATTCGTTACAAATCATCAGTCGCGTGATTAATTGCGGCGAAGCAATCGTGATCATTAAATCCGTAGACGCGTAAAGAGCTAAATAATTGATGCTCGTTACGTTACGGGTGGTGATAATGAATTGTGATAAACGGTGATAAACAACAAGGCGTAGAAATAGAAAAAAAAAAAAAAGATATGAAACGTGATCACCGTTGGATGATTATATGAAACTTGATCGCGATAGAATTGATCGATTCGATATAATGAAACAAATATCGACGAATCGAAAAAAATACTTACGAGAAAATGAACGAGGGGGTGGGGGGACGCGTACGCGTTATCGCTTAATCGTTCATCGATCGAACGGCGACGATTCGCGATCAGGCTTAACACGCGGATAGAAACGATGCTCGATAATTCACGAGGACTTTTAATTGACGCCGTAACGTCGCCCACTGTTTGTAATCCGAAGTGTTGTCGTGGCCACGCGGTTGCAACCTGTGCTCGACGTTGACAGGACCATCAATTAGGCGAATTAATTGCGCAACAGAAGTACGCAGGAGACGAAATCGACGGGTTGCCGAGGTTGCACGTTCGGGCAGAATGTCACGCCGGTTATGCGAAATACGGCAGGGGGAGGGGGCTGATGATGATGATGATGATCATGATCATGATGATGAAAACGTGTGAGAAAAAGATGAGATGGGGGGGAGAGAGTCATCCGAGAGTTATCTCTTTAACGTGTTAACGTCTCTCGACGACGGTGAGATGCATGCAAGCGGAAAGCTTCAATCCTTTTTCTCATGCTGGTGCGTAAGTCAGGGTACCGGAAAAATAATGTGTCCTTCCTGATCGATCAGGTGATAGACACGTTAGACATAATAAGCTTTGAAAAATTGTCTCTGTTCCATCTAAACTCCATTTTACGAAGGGTAGTATTTATACAACGGTACAGGGGGTGGTAGACGATTTGGGAGACGATCGATCCTTTCGCGATTCGACACTGTCACTTCGCGACTCGACAATTTTAATTTGTTTAAATTTGATCGATAGATATTCGGTGTTGAACGCAAAAGGATCTATCGCGGATAAGGATAACCTGGTGAAATGATAGGAGGTTTACCTTCCACTCTCAAAACGAAGGCTAAATTCATTTTGGGCTCGGTGTTAACCTGGCATTCGTAAACCCCGGCGTCACGTTGCTGAACGTAATCGATCTTCAACGTCCATTCGTCGGATGCCTCGGGATGCTTCACCGAAAATCTTTCGTCCCCCGTGTACGTATAGATGGACGACGTGAGTATGTGTAAATCCCTTTTACGCATCCAGGATACCTGAAACCAAAATGGCGGGGGGATAAGTATCGTTGGAATTTCGAACGAAAATTCTGGGATCGGTCGACTTTCGCTCCTCCCTGAAACCTCGATATTCCGAGGTTTGATCCTGTTCCTAGCAGGCGCGCGGGGAAATCTTCTCCTCGAAACGAGCGAAAAGATTTGTTGCACGCCTGGATCCGATTCAATCGGCCTCGTTTCAACGAAATCACGGCAATTTATCCGCGGCAAAGATTAATGGAGTCGAGAGGAATTCTTTTAATTGCGTAATTTTACGGGCCATGATCGATTCCGTCGAACGTTCAAGATGGTTCTAATAAATTCTCCATAAAATCGCCAACGTCGATCTGCCGACGATCGACGAACGACGTTTGTTGCCAGCGACAGCGACGTTGTTGGTGCAGCGGAGTGACAAATTACAACGATAAAATGGACAACGTAAAATGCAACGTTCAACGTATTTACATATTAAATTCATTATCACTCGTATAATAACGTTTCCAATGATCTATCGATGCATATTGTTATGCTCTAATAATAATAATCAAATTACTACGTATTTCATATTTTCGAATGTCGTTATATTGCAGCATAAAGATTAACAACATTATGCAATTAAATTGCCTCGTTTAATCATACATTAATTCTATTTTATTCTACATTAATTTCACCGACCGTATATTCAACAAAAAAAAAAAAAATAAAGGAAAAATAAAAAAAAAATCGAGAAGTAACGCTTTAACGAAAAAAATAATCGCCTAAAGTTATCGAGCTCGTTTCAATTGCCAGAAATTATTGCTCCTCCAATAACTACTGCAGGGTATATAATCAAAAAAACGTTAATCGTCAATTACACGTCATAGCAATCGAAATTGAAGATTTTATCGTGGCGGTATTCGAACATTTTATCGAGTAATAATTGGCGGCGTTAACGACCGCAATGGATCGATAGAGACATTCGACAAATTTAATAAAACGGTACCCCCGATAACTCTGGTGGCAATGAGGGAGGGGGAGAGAGGTTGAAAAATGTCCGAAATTTCCCCTCCATCCGCTTATCGACATTTATGGGCCGATCGTTAAACGTCTCCCGTTCGACAATTACGCAAGTACGTGCCGGTCTACTACGAGAGCAGTTCTCTCAATGCCGAAAGTCACCCCTCGATGGATCCTCGAGAGGAGGCGTCGCGCGTTTACGGCCGTCGCCGCTACTTCTAACCCTTTGGCAATGGGGGCTCGTTAAACGTATGTTCCACGGGAAGAAGATCTCACCCCTCGTTAATTATTCCAGACTGCATCCTTCCACGACGCTCACAGAGAGAGAAGGAGACGCGACGAATGGAATGGAAACGCAGAGGCAGAGGGTTGAAGAGGAGAAGAGGAACGTCGAGAGGAAGGACGAAGGGAATAATGCGATCCTTCTCGGTCGAGCAAAGAGAAAAGACGTCGAAAATGTCTTTAGAATCCCTCCCTTTTCGACGTTTTGGACGATCTATAGGAAGGATCCAGAGTTTTTACGTTCTCCAATTCGCGGGAACGCGAATTAATCGAATCGTTACGCGCGTTGTCATCGATCCTTTCGCCATCCTACCGACTATACATAAACGATATTAAAACTCGATACGATGAATTAAAACGACGTTAGCACGTCGCTCGGAATAATTCTGTTTCCGGATCCGCGAGAATAATCCGTTTCTCTCCCGCGAGATTCGAATTTGCGGGGTGAACATTTTTTTTTTTCTCCCTTCCTCTTCCCCCTCTCGAAAATTCTCTTCCCATCCGGAATTTTCGAGTTTTTATTTCGATACGAATCGAGGCCGCGTTTCACGCCAGATATGCCTCGCGAATTTATTCTGCCAACTCGAGCATCCGTGGTAACGAGCGATATGGGAAGAGGAATACATGGATGGAAAAGAGACAAGATCCTTTTAACTATAATATTTCTCGCACGACCATTATCTTTATCGTGTTCTCCGTTACCGGAGGAACAGATCAGTTATCATTTGGCGCCTTTTATATATATATATATATATATATATATATATATATCCAAATGGACCAGCAACTTTTCCCTTGGGGAAAATTAAATATCTCGCGGCTCTTGCCGCCGTTTGCCCTGCGGGGTCGAATACCGTTCGTAAGTCAACGGCGGACATCTTATATAGTTTCGAACTCGAGTTCTCGGCATCGAGATTACAGGGAGGAAGAGAAGGAGGGAGAGCAAGAATGTTACGTGCTCCACGCGTTATCGCGAAATTTCGCCCCTATTAAAGTACAACGAGGCAAGAAATCTGCGAATAAAAGGATCGTGCTTCCAGTGGCGCCGCGGCTGAAACGTTCCGCAACGAGGCACCATTTTAATTACAGAAATATTTTTCCAACGGGGAGGGCGGACTGAATACAAAAGCCACCCGTCTAGTAAATATAAATATCGTTCGAGTTTCTGTAGAGAAACGTAATGCAAATTCCACCCCGACCGGAGAAGTTTCTTTGTTTTTTTCCTTTTCGTTTTCTTTTTCTTTTTTCCTTTTTTTTTTTTTCTTTTCAAGTTGGAACTACAGTTTTGCCGGAGTTCGGTTAGCGCGAATCTGATTGCGAATCAACGATCCTTTTAACATTCCCCGAATCTCTTACGAGCTCTCTTCAAAGTAGCTCTAATTGAATTTTCTCTTTTGCTAAAAATAAATCCTTATCCATCCACTTGAAAAAGTTTGCTTGCGCGACGAAAGGTTCAAAAGGGTCCGTTTAAAGGGTTAAACCCGAATCGGCCGTGTTTCCCTTCGACTGTTTAGAACGAATTATCGAAGGACAAAGAATACCCCGTTCGCAGTTTCTTCCACTTTCCAGCGCCAAAAAATAAACGAGATCTTTCTTCTTCTCAGATCTTCTTCTTAAATCAAAGATCAAGAAGAGGATAGAGATAATTTGCATTTCATCCTCGTGCCACGATTCAACTCATCCCTAGCTCGATTCGAGATCGACGAGGGATACGTAGGATATAAAGGAACGATATAGAGAGATATTCCTCTGGATATCCGAGCCGTGATACCACTCGATACGTAAAACATCTCGTACGGTACGCAATTTGCCGGGTGGCAAGCAGCGTGTAAGCCTTTTCACCGGGTCTTTGGCCTTTTGAAGCCGGCGGGGGACTTGCCATTTTCTGCTCAGCCCAACCCGAAAACACGAGCTCGAAACACGGGTCTTCTCTTTGAGTCGTTACGCGCACCCTCCACCGCGATCTTCATTTCCTATTAATCCGCCAACCGTTCGAACCTTGAGGATTTCCCAGAGAGATTCCTATACTACTCTCCGAATCGAGAGCGAAGAGAATCCGGTTCCAAAACGGAGAAAGAATCCCGCGGAGGAGAAGCGAAAGAAGAGGACGGAGGAAAAAAGAAAAAGAAGAAAAAAGAAAGGAAAAACAGAGAGGCGCGTAGACATCGGATAAAGGGCACGTAGCGGTTTAACACAGCGGAATGGAGGGGGAAAAAGCGATGGAAAAAGTAGGGAATATGGAACGCAGCTAGGAAACTGAACGAATTTTCCTCGGGAATTTCCTTCGAGGTTCCACAGGAATATTTCCCTCTCGCGTCTCCCTTTCGCGCGCGACCCGCAACGTACGTACGTGCAGCCATTCTCTAAACGACGACGAGTCGACTGTTGCGGCCTCGACACGCGGAAACCTCGAGTCGCGTCGCGTTTTTCCGCGGCTGCGGTGGATGGGTGGGTGTCTCGAGTGACGAACCTCCCTCCCTCCCTCTCACATCTCTCGAGAAAATGGAGAGTTGCCTCAACCCGATGATTTTCTCGCCCATTCACGGTAATTTCTTCGGATAAAAGGTTTTTCGCGCGTGTACGTACGTACGTACGCGGTTGGCCGCGATGCAGCGTCAGAGGGGAAGGGGTGTGAGGAAAATGACGGGAACCGTTCGTCGTCGGTAAACTCGATTTACGGGAACCCCTTGATGCACGTCTCCCACTTGTACTTATCTTCTAAGCGCGCCCATCCTCTTCCAAAGAGGTTTTCTTATTTCGCTTTCCAGGCAGGAGAAGGAGGAGGAGTATTCGAGCGTGTCAATCAGTTTAGGGAGAGGCAGATCGGTTTGCCTCAATTTTATTTGCCACGTTGTACGCGAGGCAGACGCGCGACAAACATTGACTGACGGGGAGTGAGATGAGCGGGATGATAAAAGTACGGTGAGACGTTGGCAAATGGAAGGGTGTTACGGTGTTGTTCTCGAGTACGTATTCACCGAGATCCCTTCGAAGGGAGAACTACGAGGCGGGGTATTAAACGAAAGCTTTGATCTGTTTAAACCCAACGCAACGATGCATCGGGATATCTCGCGTTACGTAGTAGATCCTACCGTTTCTTCTGAATTTCGTGAGAGAAGGAAAGCAACAGTCTCGAAGATAGTTCGAGTTATTTCTTCGAACACGGTGGGGGGAAAAAAAAATGCCGATTTCGATCGAACATCGATGGTAATTTTATATCCGTAAACCGATGTCGATACGCAACCAGATAGAAATTAGAGATACCAATTAGCACGTGGTATCAATTTAATGGCCGCCCTCGCTGTCGTTCGTCATCGTCGTTGCAGCGAATTGCGTTCGACGTTGGTCGTCGCTCGTTGATTATCGTCACCGTCGTTATCGTTGTCATTACTTGAATATCCCATCGATTCCAGCTTCCCATTCCCCCGAGCTATTATATCCTCTATCTCTGTCGCCTATCTTCTCGTTCGCATGCCCGTTCATTACCTGGCCATCCGTACCTGCTACACCGAACACACCGAAATCGAGGCCTAACGTTTATTAGCGCCGCGTATTGCTTGATAAAATGCTACGAAAATTACAACGTGCGAATATAACGAGTGTCGGGAATATTTATTTTATATATATATATATATTTTACCGATTATGTTTTTTTGATAAATAAATAAACGTAAATCGAATCTAAGTTTTTTCATGTAATTTATTATCCCGATTCGTGCATT